CATTGTGTGAACAAAAGAACTTAGAGGAAATTCAACCCTTAAATACTGCAACCGATCTCTTATTTGAGAGAATAGCTTTAAGGCAATTTGAACCATATCAAATTTAGCGCCGTTGCCAAAGTTTTTGGGAATCACCATTGAGTTTAGTTTAGAGATTTCGTCTAGTTTTTACTTTTCTTTTGTTACTCACGAATTTCTTGGTTTCTTCTTTTCTGTGTTTCAGGTGTATGCCTATGCAAACAAGAAGCACACAACAGAAGGAGCTGATTAACTTGTCTGTTCTTGACTTAGGAAAACTTGAGCGCACAAACCGAAAAACTCAGAGATTAGCAATGGCTGACAGAATCATCAGACTTGATGAGGAAGGAGTTTTAAGAGATGAAAATGGGAAAGCCTACAATGAGGCTGGTCAGAGATTGGATGATCATTGACTATCATTGACTTCCTCTCAGCCACGGCCGCGCACCACCACCGCCGGCGCTTCTCCCCCACCGTCGGATTCCCCCTCTGCAGCTGCCCACGGTCCCATCTTTTGACCTTTGGCCAAAATTGGATAATGAGTGGATTGCTTCTCAACGAGTTTGGGAGGAGGATATCAACCGGGAATTCACTAAAGGTGACTTTGTCAATTGTCATTTTTCTCCAGATTGGGATGATTATGATACATTGTTTTACAATGCTTGGAAGAATGTGGATAACCTACCTATACGGTTTGCGGATTTTGATTTGATGCGTCGCTTGAAGATAGAGAAATCTGTTTTAGGATTGCTAGAGTATATAGGTTTGGGAACAATTTGTACTAGGTAGTATGACTTGTATCCTGAGCTAGTGTGGCAGTTTATGGCTTCTGTTAGGGTTTCCTATGTAAATGATAGGGTGCGCGATGCTCAGGAAGGAGCCCTTATTTTCTTCATTCGTGGTATCAGATAAATTTTACCGCTCAGGGATTTGTGTGACATCTATGGTTTTGAGAATGATACTTCTCATGTTTCGCTTCCTGGACAGTTTGCAGATGCTCAAATATTTTGGAGCGAATTTGGCAATGGAATTTATGATTCCAAGGATGTTGTACATTCAAGGATTTGTTAGCATGTTCTGAGGTATTTGGCTAGACTGATTAGCAACACATTTTTGTGTAAGATGGAGCATTGGAAGATGAGGCTTTCTAAGTTCTTGCTACTTTATCATGTTGTTCGTGACTTCTTTCCTGACACTTTGAGGATGGAGGAAGTGGACCGCAATGTCAACTTTGGGGCTGTTTTCGCGCATCACTTGGTCTCTCTTAAGACCAAACCCTTTACATGCACATGGAAGAAGACTGAGCAGATTGGTAGTCTCCTCACTCCTATCTTTGAGCATTTTCACATTAGTGTTGAGGGGGAGAAGATTGTGACCAAGAGAGCCACCATGGATGAGGCTTATTTGAAGAGTACTCACTGGCTTAAGGGCAGTTTGGTTTGGTGTTTCAGAGATTGCACAGGGAGCCATATGATTCAGTTACCCTGTCGTGCACTTACAAATATCACATGAGAGCCAGAGGAGCTTGGCTTTCATCCTGAACCTTCACTACTGCAAGCTGCACCACGCACTAGGAAATAGAGAGGTACAACCACATGATCCGCGCCTACACCGATAGAGGATGCGTTTGTTGATCCTTCTAGGGGTCTTCAATTTGGGTCCTCTTCTTCAGCCTTACCTTATCAGCTGCTTACTCCTGCTCTTATCCCGATGGAGCCAGCGAACTTTCAACAGTACGTAGTTGACATCTTCAAGAGCATTTGGAACACAATAGCTACAGTTTCTTGATGCGGTTGTGTTGATCCTACTCGTCGCTGTCGTCACTCTCCAGCACCTACTTTTGGTTCTAAGCATGAGGATTAGCCATCCTCCCTATCTCTACTTTGTACTCTGACTTAGTTTTTCTTTCCTTTGAGACGATTGGTTGTTTGATTCGAAACTTGTTGCACTTATCATCTTATGCTTTTTTGGACCTATTGATGTGTGTTTTAGTGATTTAACAGTTCAGCTAGAGGATCCATGTGAAAATACTAACCTAAGCTCTGCAATGCCGAGCTGAATTAGCAAAGCACAATAGAAACGACTAGAGTGTCGATCGACACCGCTTCACAAACAAGGTGGCAAATTACGTTTCTCTAACTTTTCACTTTTGACTATTTTTCTTTTGATTTCTCTAGCTTGATAGCTCCGGGGACAGTGTTATTTAAGTCTGGTGAGTCAGTTACTAACTTCATTTTTTCTTTTCTTAAGAGTTGGTTGTGTTGTTTTTATTAGAGAGTTGTTTTATTGAGTCAAAACTTTTGTCTGAAATTATGATCTTTCTTTCGAGTTTATTGTCTGGATTGATTAAGTACTACAAATTCGATTTAGTCCGACTAATGAAAAATCCAGAAGGCAAACTGATAAAATTAAGGACATCCAGTTTTCCAACATAATCCAAAAGGCTAGAGCCAATCTCACTGCTCTTCCTTTTACCTCTTCAAAACAATTAGTGTTCGTAGGACTTGACTCCTTGTTCATACCTGATACTTCGACCAATGTAAAAAAGAAAAGTACTCCTCTCCCTAATAACACTGTATTTTACTCATTTTAGGCATTTTTTTATCATCATTTAGCTGTGCATTTTTTGTATCATATCTTTTTGCACCATTTTAGCTTATTTTACATACTTAGGCATCTATGATCATCTTGCATACGCATTGCATGTTTTGGTGTGTTTTCAGGTGCAGAAGGAGCTAAAAAGGTCTCTACTCGATCCATCCACTCGATCCAGGCAACTACATAAGAGACATCAATTCACTCGACCTCTTTACTCGATCCTGGCAGCTATAGAGGAGGCTGCAGTGTACTCGACCCTCTTACTCGATCAAGGCAGCTTCAGATGAAGCAGCAGATTGATCTATTCGCCCCTCCTACTCGATCCTCTACTCGACCCATTTACTCGACCAAGGGTGACCAACTCTACAAGACTTGTTGATCTATCAAAGCGTCTTCGGATCCTCCTCATTCCCCACTCAACCAGACATTTGAGCATACGGATAGGAGAGGAAGAAGCATCTACTCGATCAAATTGATCACTCAGAGCATAGACACAAAGGCGCCGACTTTGCAGCACCCTCATTACTCGATCCCCAAGATCGAGCATTTGCCCAAACCGCCTCAAGTCTCTAGTCCTCTAGTGAATCTAGGGTTTTCAACATTTTAGTATAAATAGATCACTTTGGGGTTTGTCCTTAGGATCCAGCTTTTATCCTTTAGTTTTTCTTTGTGTTTATGAATCTTCAAAACTTAATTACTCTTAATCTATTTCATTTTTGCATTTAGTTGTTTAAGTAAAGTTGTTTAGCTTGTTTAGATCTACATTTTGATATGATTTCAGTAATTTATGGGTTCGTGTTTTTGAGAATGTTGCTTGAGTAGTGATTAGGGTTCTTAATGATGGATTAGATTAGGGTAATCTCTAGGTTAGCCAGGTGGTTAAGATTAGGTTAAAACCCTTCTGGATTCGCTTGGCCCCTATGCGGTTTTCGCTAGCTAATGTGGAGATTCGATCATATATGTCCAGCGTCCAAAAGAGGTTCAAATGGATGTATGATCTACGAATTCCAGAGTTTTGTAGACTCGACCAAGACATTATCTTGTCTGCTTATTGGCTTTGGTAGATTGTTTCTTAAACCTTGCTCCGCTATGTTTTATCAACGACTTTTGAGATTAGGAAGTGGTAGAGTTATGGGAGTCTCTGTCACGACAGTGGATTGACCTAGTTTTTGAATCTATCGTCAAGGGTATCTACCTTTCACCTATTAGCCATCTGATGAACCCTAGAGTTGCCCTTATCAATGAATTCATCCTTAGGACTTCTATTATATTTATTTGTATCTCCTGTTGATTGCACTTTTATTTACCTGTTATTTGTATCCCCTGTTGATTGCATTTTAGTTACTTAAATTCGTCACCTGTTGGTTTTACTAGACCTAATGATCGAGTAGGGCTCTTAAATTCTCATTTTTACTTGTTTGAATCCTGACCTAGGATTGTTACTAGAAACCCACCATCATTATAATCTGGCTTGACTTAGTTGCTTCTGTACACGTCTTGATTGCTAGCAATAACAGTGGACTGGATTGACATCCCCTAAAGCTACATCGACATCCCCTATAGCTGCATCGACATGTTAGTGTTTGTAGGGGAATGGAACTGAACCTCTCACACATTCCGCATAAATAAGTAGGCCTAAAAAACCTACTTATCAATTTGGCGCCGTTGCCAATTCCTTTTTGCATTGTTACATTCAAGATATCAGAAACTTTTAAGATCAAGTTCTTTTCCATTTATCAAGTTACTAACTCATCTTTTCGTCTACTTGTTTTTATGGTATAGGTACTAATCTTTGTGCATGCAAACTCGATCCAAAGGTTCTGCAAACCTACTACCATTCAGAGACAGAATAGATAGAATAGCTCGTGAGTTACAAGAAACCAATAGCTCGTGAGTTAATAGATAGAATAGCTCGTGGCTGCAAACCTACTACCATTCAGCCTGTGATCAGCAAAGACCAGCTGCTATGGATCAACAGAACAAACCAGTTGACGTTCAAGACCCACCTAATATTGATCAACCAAGAAACATTGGTGCTGGTGATGCCCCAAGGATTCATCACCAAAGACAAGGGATAGTGCCTCCACGAGTTCAGAACAACAATTTTGAGATCAAGAGTGGTCTCATCTCAATGATCCAAGGAAACAAGTTTCATGGTCTACCTATGTAAGATCCCTGGACTATCTTGACAGCTTTGATAGGCTATGTGGCCTTACCAAGATCAATGGTGTCACTGAAGATTGTTTAAGATCAGACTATTTCCTTTCTCTTTGGGAGACAAGGCACACCACTGGAAAAAGACTCTACCCCCAGACTCCATCAACTCATGGGACGATTGTAAGAAAGCTTTTCTTACCAAGTTCTTCTCTAATGCTCGAACACCCAGATTGAGGAACGAGATCTCAGGCTTCACACAAAAAACAATGAAATTTTCTATGAAGCTTTGGAAAGGTTTTAAAGTTACACCACTCGGTACCCCATCATGGTTTCAAGAATGCTTCATTATTGAGCACACTCTACAGAGGAGCTTTACCAAAGATCAGAATGCTTCTCGACACCGTCTCCAATGGAAACTTCCTGAACAAGGATGTAGTAGAAGGCTGGGGGTTAGTCGAAAATCTAGCACAATCTGATGGGTGCTACAATGAAGACTATGATCGCTCAGTGAGAGGAACTGGAGGTAGTGAGGATAAACAGAGCAAAGATATCAAGGCTCTGAATGAAAAGCTCGACAAGCTGTTGATGGCTCAGCAGAAGCAGATACACTACATCACTGATGAAGAGCATTTCCAAATGCAAGAATGCAGGAATGATCAAACTGAAGAGCTGTGCTACATCCAGAACCAAGGAGGGTTAAACAAGGGGCACAACAACTACAAGCCCAACCCAAACCTCTCCTACAGAAGCACTAATGTAGCTAACCCCCAAGATCAAGTGTATCCACCTCAACAGAATCAGTCCAAGCCTTTTGTTCAGTACAACCAAGGTTATGTCCCTAAACAACAGTTTAATGGACGATACCAACAGCAGAATCCCCCACCAGGGTTCACTCAACAACCACAACAAGCCCCAGCAACTCAAGATCCTGAAATTAAGCAACTCATTCAACAGATCATTCAAGGACAAGCTACTGGAGCTATGGCTTTTGACAAGAAGATAGCTGAATTACACAACAAGATCGATTGTTCTTACAATGATTTAAATGTCAAATTCGAAGCTTTGAACTCAAAAATCAAGTATGTGGAGAGTCAATTTGCATCAACCTCTGCTCCGAAGCACCCTCAACAACTTCCAGGGAAAGCAGTCCAAAATCCTAAGGACTATGCTACTGCTAATGCTATCACTATCCACCATGAAGATGAGTCTCCATCAAGTCATTAGACTCTCAATACTGAGGACATTATGATTCAAGAAGGGGGGATTCAACTCAAATTGCTGCACCTGCCACCCAACAATTCATCCGGACTATAGAGCACACACCTTTGCTGAATACTCACCATTCTGGAAAAAGTTCAAAATTGAAAAACTCAAGAAGGACCAGAATCAAGAGATGATTAGCAGTGCCTCCACCCAAGAAACATACAAGAAGAAAGTCATCCAAGAAAAGCTTGATGATCCCGGTTCATTCACTCTGCCATGCTCTCTAGGACCATTGACATTCAATACGTGCCTTTGTGATTGGGTGCATCTGTTAATCTTATGCCTCTCTCTACAGCTAAAAGGCTAGGGATCATGGAATACAAGTTCTAATAGCTTTACTTTTACCTGATGGTTATGTTGCACATCCACATGGTCTAATAGAAAATCTGCTTGTCAAGATTAAAAATGTTGAGATACCTACAGATTTTATGGTATTGGACGTAGATGAAGAAGGCAAGGATCCCCTGATCCTAGGGAGACCATTCTTAGCATCAGCTGGAGCAGTCATAGATGTCAAGAATGGAAAAATTAATCAAAACCTTGAAAAAGGCATCAAGATGAAGTTTGATATCAAAGAAGCTTCAGGGAAATCAACAACAGGAGTTCAGAATTTTGGGATTCAGAACATGGATGTTGATGAAGAAGTAGAAGCTGGAACCCCACCAAGAGTTAACTATACTTCTCAACTTAGCAAGCTGAAGAGAACTTTTGACCACAAGAGGAGAGCAACAGAAAGGCTAGCTCAGACTGAAGATCGTACAGAAGATGACTGGTATGAGATGAGAAAAAATTTAAATGGCAAAGCAGAGTCATAAAGGGATTATCTTCAAGGGTGATGAAGCTGAAAGATCAACTATGGATGTTTGAAAAAAGAGTTAATAAATTTTCAAATGGTATTGACCCAGAGAAGATGGAAACTGCACTAGCTATCAAGGAGGACGAAGATTTCACAACAGAATGGGTTGCAACAGAAGATCAGAAAGGAGTTTACTTAGAGGAACGAAGCCTAGAGAGCAAGTTGTTGAGTGAGGAGGAAATCCCTATTCCGACTTATGCTCCAGGAGTACCTAAACCAACCACCAACCCTTCTGTTGAAGAAGAACACTTTATTCTTGATTCTGTTACTGAAGAACTCCTGGAGCTCTGGGTTGGATACAAAGCTCAAGAGAATACCATTGGGGAGCTAACTTACAAGATGGAAGGACTGAACCATGCAATCTTGGAACTTCAAGAAATGGTTAAAGGCTACCCCAGTTTTGAATTTGAGGATTGGTCAAAGGAACCTGGTTCAGAAGAAGAAGATTACTCTGCTGATCAGAAAGAAGCTTACTTTGAAGAAAAATCAAATAAGTACTCATCCTACCATATATCAAGAGAGGATGCAGAGTTTGATTCAAGCACTAAAAATTCAACAACTTAAGATGAGGACTTCTCTGTTCCTCTCTTCAACCTTTTTTCTGACTAAACTCTGTAAGAGTCAAGCTTAGTGACTTAAAACAAGCTCACTTGGGAGGAAGTCCCATGTCTATCAATGTATTTAACTTTCTATTTTTTTTTGTTATTTTTGATGTTTTTGTTTAAGTGATTCAGTTTTATTTCATAGACCATGATGGAGTCAATGTGGAGATTAGGTTAGAACCCTTCTGGATTCGCTTGGCCCCTATGCGGTTTCCGCTGGCTAATGTGGAGATTCGATCATAGACGTCCAGCGTCCAAATGACGTTCAAATGGATGTCTGATCTACGAATTCCAGAGATTTGTAGACTCGACCAAGACATTGGCTTGTCTGCTTATTGGCTTTAGTATATTGTTTCTTAAACTCTGCTCTGCTATGTTTCATCAACGACAATTGAGATTAGGAAGTGGTAGAGTTATGGGGGTCTCTGTCACGACAGTAAATTGACCCATTTTTTGAATCTATCGTCAAGGGTATCTACCTTTCACCTATTAGCCATCTGATGAACCCTAGAGTTGCCCTTACCAATGAATCCATCCTTAGGATTTCTATTATATTTATTTGTATCCCCTGTTGATTGCACTTTTATTTACCTGTTATTTGTATCCCCTGTTGATTGTATTTTAGTTACTTAAATTCGTCACCTGTTGGTTCTACTCGACCCAATGATCGAGTAGGGCTCTTAAGTTCTCATTTTTACTTATTTGAATCTTGACCTAGGATTGTTACTAGAAACTCACCATCATTATAATCTGGCTTGAGTTAGTTGCTTCTGTACACGTCTTGATTGCTAGCAATAACAGTGGATTGGATTAACACCCCCTATAGATGCATCGACATGTTAGTGTTTGTAGGGGAATTGAACTGAACCTCTCACACATTCAGCATAAATAAGTAGGCCTAAAAAACCTACTTATCACTCCCCTTATAAAATTTATAAAAAAAAACAAGAGATTGATACGATTTTTGGTAGTGTATAGGGGTAGGAATGTTTCCCATGACCCTATTATTATACATTATTAGGAATGATCAATTACAAAGGTTGGAAATATGTTGAGGATGTAAATCTAGTAATGCGAGTACACTTTTGTTTACTCTTCAAAAAGAATAAGTATGAGGGAGAGAAAGAATACCAAAATATATATATATATATAAGAATAGTCGATTTTGTTATGGTATAGTCCAGGAATGAGTCTAGAAAGTTCTTAAATATTAGCTTGATTGATGAGACCCAACAATGGGAACCTAATGGATATAGTTGTGAGATTTGGTTTGGAATCTAGGATGTTGTGTAAGTTAGCGGAGAATTACATGGTGGTTAGGACTTGACTAGAACTATTTCGTACATGGAATTGGTTTGTATGATTAGGGTAATAAGCTAGAGAGATCGGAAATTTCAATGTTTTTAAAACCTTTTCCAGATATTCATTTTTATGTTTTGCTTGAGGGTAAGCAAAGGCTAAGTCTGGGGGAGTTCATATATCATGGTTTTTTTATTGATTTTTAACATAATTTTAGAATATATTTTAGAGTCTTTCTAGTCATTTTTGTATGTTTTGAGTCATTACAAGTGCAATTAAACATTTGAGAGCTATGGAGCATAATAAGGAACTTTGGAAGTTTTTGAGCAATGAAGACTATCAGAGACTTTTTCACAAGATGGTGTCGATTGACACCACATCTATGTCGATCGACACTCTTATTCGGCAAAGGGAATTTCCACGTTTCACCAAGTCTTTAAGGAGTTCCTGAAGTTTTCCCTATTTGCAAGATAGACCCTGCACGTTTTTAGTAACTTATATACATAATTTTATGGTCATTGTTTAGACCTAAGCTTGTTTTTAATAAGAGATACACTTTTGGAGAGAATAATCCGATCCCTCCAAACAAGATTTGAACTCCTTTTACTCTTTTTCATATTATAATTTAATGCAATTTATTCAGATTATGATTTGTGTTCCTTTGATCATGTCTGAGTAATCACCTTGTTGGGTTTAGGGAATCTCACTATGGATTTAGCTGAATTAGTAGATCGATAACCCCTTAGAATTAGTTTTAGAGTTCTTCATCTATAATTGTTCTTACTGCTAGTTCTAGATTGATCACCTATGACTTGATCTTAGATAGTAGGTATACCCACCATAGGTACTTGTTATTAGAACTATTATGGATGAGCCAACGTTTATAGGTATCCCAAATAAGATCAGTCTATTTATTTAGGTGAACTTATCAAACTCGATTAGCATGTATATTTAGGTGTAGGATTTTACAGCAAATCACCGGAAATCGTACCTTTAGGCATAGTGAGTTTCACAGAACATCACCGGTTATTCTATAATTAGAGTTTGAGTTCAAAAACGGTTTGATAACAATCCTAATCATATTTAGATCTATAATTTATCTATTTCCTGAGACTATCACTAGACCTGACGCTTTAATCTCTTGAATCTGCAACTCAATTTACTGTTTTATTGTCTTTTACTTTTATCAACTGTGTCTAGCTTAATATTAGTCGTCTTAAGTTTATTGTGTGAACAACGAGAGCTTAGTGGAATTCGACCCTTTAGTGCTAACGACGGTCTCTTATTTGAGGGAGTAAGCCTAAGGCAGTTT